CGATGCCGCTGGCGGCCGCTGCGCCGGTCCGGGGGGGGCGATGCTGCCGAGGCGCAGCTCGCTGACGGGGCTGGCGGTGGGCTTGTTCGCCGTCTACGTGGCGCACACCTGCTGGGTGATGTACGGCATCGTCCATACCCGGCCTTGCCTCGCCGCCGCTGCCGCCGCCCGCGGGGCCGAAGGGAACGACGGCTGCATCCGGCCTTACCTGGCGCGACGGCCCAAGCTCCAGGTGAGAGGGGCCGGGGAGGGTCGGAGGGCCCCTCCACTCTTGGGCTCCCCACACCCGCCATCCCCACTTCCGAGGGCAGATGCAGGCAGAGGGGGAAAGGGATGCGCTTTCTGTGGCGCGGGTGGAATCTCTCTTTTTTTCTTTTCTTGGCATGGGTTGTTTTCACACATGGGGGGGAAGGCAGGGGGGGTGTCGCCCAAAGCCCTTGCATCGAAGTCAGTGGGCTAAACTTTAGGTGACCCTCGCCCCTCGCCCGCCTTTTTAAAAATGTAGTCACCCACCAGCTAAATTTAGAGAGCAAGAGGCTCTTAGTAGCCAAGGTGTAAATAAGGTATGCTTTCCTTTAAGGAGGTTGGATCTTCTTGGCTCAGTTAGGCCAAGTCATGCCAAATCCAGTGCCCTTTGCACGAATCCCAGCGGGAAGTGCTTGGTTTTTTTACAAACAGACCCAGTCCTCCTTGCGTTTACAGCAGCCTCTTTCACCTGTTGACTTCCAGCCAGCTGGTATGGCAGGCACCCAGTTTGGGAGAAGCTGGATCTACAGTTACTTTTGTGCCCGCTAATAGGCTGGGTGAGCGATCCATCAGGAACGTCTTGGCTATACGTATAAGCTTCGGCTACCTTTGCCCTTATGCAACATGCAGGTGGGGGAATGTTTCAGATGCGCCAGGAGGACGAACTTGGAGATTACTCAGCAAGCTGTTTGGAAAATAGAGACACTGTCCTGACTTGGCACCAGGCTAACTAACTACTAATCAGAATTCTAAGGATTACGCTGGGTTGGATCTGAAGTTGTGTTTAACAGAGCTTTGCTGACATTGGAAGAATGGCTCAGGCAGGGGCTTGACTCCCATTCTTCCTGACAGCTGCATTCCCCATACCTCCTGAAAAGGACTAGAAGATTAACAATGTGGTGGAAAGGAGGACTTGGCAAAGATGGTCTCCTGTCCCCTCCCTCCAGCAGGGTCCTCTGATCCAAGGCAATGTTCCCAAATAAGGCAAAGGTGGAAAATTTGTGACTTTCCAGACATTATTTTTCTGCAACTCCCACTAGCCCTAGCTATGTGAAGAAAGCAGCCCTATACGTGCTTTGAAGTCTTTTCCAAATGCTGTGTAACACTAAGTATGGTTGCTACATAATTAGCAACTAGCACCCCATTCTGCTGCCAATAAATGGTGGAATTTGATTTTTCATCTTTTTCTCAGTTGGAAGGCTCATTAGGGGGATTGGGCTTGGAATTTTAGGTGGTTTTCTCCTTCAAAATTACAGGCACCACTACATAATCTTTGTGTGATTTCAATTATCAAAATGTAAACGTCAGTCCTGCACAAAATAGATGGGAGTGTGGACATGTATAGGCATTGCAACAGTCTAGGATCTTATGATTACAGAGGCTCAAACACAAAAGTGGGTGAATATTTAAAAAAATTAGGCAGTGTAAAAAGGTTTTTGAACCCAGGTGTGTTTCATAGGACAGAGCTTGTCTACTGGTACAATAGTTATAATGGGTTATCCTCATGGAGAAGAGTAATTGTCAATTTTCTCCACTCTAGTGGCTATCTGAAAGGGAAGTGAGACCAACAGAACAGATGACAACACAGGGTTGTTTATTGCTTGTTCCTTGTTCCCTCCCCACTTGTTCAGAATACTATTATTTGTACTCTGACCAAACGTGTCAGCATGTAATGCTGCTGGGAACCAAAAGTCATTCACATTACCCCTGATGATTGGCAGTCCCAAATAGACCATGACAAGGAACATATCTGTATATATTATACACAGAAATATACATTTTGGAATGCAGTGGCATGTGCAAATTGGGCTGGACATGGGCCAAGATTTGAAAAGCACTTACATTACAAAAAGGTGTCCAGTAGTTTAGCCATTTATGTTAATAAACTAAGAGCACAAGTTCACAGAGGAAGACAGCTTCTTCCTGCAAAGCACTTTGCAGTCCAGATGGTGGTAGAGAAACCACAGCCTCAGATATAGATGATCTGTCCAAGATGGGTTTCAAAGGCACAGCAAGCCAGCAAAGCACATGTTGTTATGTATGAACAGCATGTTTACGTATACTGCCCAGTTGCTCCTGTTTGCAGCTTGGGTGCGTTAAACAGTATTTATTGCTTTCATATATATCCCGCCTTTCATCCAAGGAGCTCAAACCAGCATACATGTCTTTTCTTTTTCTATAGACCTTTTCCTCACAACCCTGTGAGGTAGGTCAAGCTGAAAGAATGTCTGGCCAAAGGTCATTCACCAAGTTGCATGGCTTGGCGAGGACTTGAACCTGGTTCCCCAACCCCCGACCGGCACTCTAACTAATACACCATATTGACACTTTCCATAGTCTAGTCCAGTGGTTCTTAACCTTTGTTACTTGGATGCTTTTGAACTGCAACTCCCAGAAACCCCAGTCAGGACAGCTGGTGGTGAAGGCTTCTGGGAGTTGCAGTCCAAAACTCCTGAGTAACCCAAGGTTAAGAACCCGTGGTCTAGTCGATACACTTCTCTTGCTAAGACATGAAGCATGGACTCTCTGGCAGATCTTAATACTGTATACAGACATGTTTGTATGCTGGGGGGAGTGTTTATATACCCCTCTGATATGGTTTTTGTATTTAAGATATTGCTTAAATAGTGTGGGATGTTATCATATAAGGATGTAGTCATGCTTTTCAGGGAACAAAAAAGTTGCCCTTAAATTGGGTAAATCTATTTATCATAATCATCCCAAAGAAAATGAGTTGCCTGCCAAAACATATTCCCCCACACACAGACAATCTGTTTGATTGTGGTAGTTTCTCCTCCTAGACTGCCACGTCTAAGACAAGCGAGTGAAGAATTCCCTTAGGTCTTATCCCATAGTCCTAATCACTGGGTTTTGATAAACACCAAATTAGGACCTTCAGTCCCTGTTTGGAGTCCCTGATGAATTATGTACTCTAAGCTTTTACCTCTCTTCAAATAGGATTGCAGGTAAAAGGAGAGGTACCTTAAGCCCACTTAAAAATGCAGCCTACAACTGAAGGTTGCCCACTGGCCTTGTATTGTGGTCCACCATCTGACCAGTAACTTCCTGCTTGTACAGTACTAGGCAGGAACCAAAGGCAAATGAGCTGACAGTCTCTGTTCACTTTGGTGGAACACATGTTTTGTGGGCTGTTAGGCTGAAATGGAGGAGAGAGAAAGCAGAGGCAGTAACATTTTCTCCACTGCTTTCTTAAGTTTGATGGAAACGTGGGGGTTGGGGGAAGGGGTTCTGGCAGCTTATGTGGGCAACGTGTAATCCAAGGTAAAGGGAATAAATGTTGTATGAGTGGCAGGAGTACAGCCTGTTCTTTTTCAGTAGCCAGCAAGGTAAGGTGGTTGAAGCAAGCCTTCCTACATGTGTTAACTCTTCCCTTTCTGTTTCAGCTGAGTGTTTACACAACCACACGATCCAACATAGGAACTGAAAATAATATAGATCTAGTTCTGAATGTGGAGAATTTTGATGTCAATTCCAAATTTGAAAGGTATTATGGATTTATTTGTAAAGTGTCTCCAAAGGAATCCCGTATGTGCCAATGATTTCAGTTGAGCCTGTGTTAAGTACTATTAAGTCCTATTTATTTTAGTGGCAGGGATAAGCATGTGTTTAATCTCCCTCATTGGAATGACTAGGTCTTCAAAGTGTTTAATGTTAGCTAGATTATCTAGTGCCCTGAATGCTTTTAGACCATGATACTGAATTTCTTCTTATTTAAAACACCTTATTTTCTTACTGATTTCAAAATAGTTTACAGAAGACAAAATCTGTCTGACAGGCACTCCAATTTGAAGCATCCTTACTGAGAAATAAGTCTAATAGATGTTAGTAGGATTTCATTCCGGATAAATGTTCTAAGGCTTCACAGTTAAGCCCCTCTATTTTGATTTTCTGGGCAGGGTTTGTCCATGGTGCAAAGGATACTTCCACATTTAAAATAGCTTGGTAGCATGCCCATCAATTCTTCTTGTTCCCTAAGTACTGTAAAATGTACAAAGAACTTTGTGCTGAGAAGAAATTTATGATGTACTGGACTTCGGTAAGCATCTTTGCTGCTACATCCTCCAAAAACCCACAGGAAAGAATTACCCGGGCTTTCCTCTTTGGTAGATGGGATTGAAAGGTGGTATGGTTTTCTTTTCTAGGTCGGGCTTTTGCAGAAACTGCAGCAGTGACTTGCTGCTGACACCACCTGCTAAGCCACAACAGGAAGTGAAAGAAACCATCTTTCTTTCCTCCCTGCCCCCAGTCTCCATAGAGAAAAGCAGTTCATGGCTTCTGTGACTCACATACATGAGTTGCTCTGCACCTCCTCAGGACAACTCAGACACACAGAACTGTAGTTGCAGATAGGCAAACCTTACTCCCTCCCTTCCCATAGGGTTTTCATGCGAGGAGGCAGTAACAAGGCACTGCTTGTGTTTTCTGGGCGCAGAAAAAAAGTGAAGTAGGAAGCAAGCCATCTCTCCCTTTTTCTGTGTAGAATTTGGGTTGGGGGATCATTCCTGCAATGAGCTGGAATTTCCTGGGAAACATGAGAATGAAATAATGTCTTCTATAGAAATAGTCTTTAATAAGGTTTTTAATGTTTGTGAATTGTGACAGTTGAAAGTTGCCCATTATTCTAAATGCTTAATTAAAACAAAACCAAAGAGAGATGAGTCAGACTAAAACTCATGATCCAGTCAGAACTGTGAATTGACTTTTTGCCATCATTCATCTAAAGAACATTTCAAGGTTAGTGTTAAAAGTTATCAATTAAATTACTGATGAAGAAAAAACTCATTTTCAGTGCCTAAAATGTTAGTCATCCTATCTGTGGTAGAAGTGATATGATGCCAGAACTAAGAGCAATTGTAAAATTTATATACCCAATTTTGTTTGTTTGTAGGACAGTTAATGTATCTGTACCAAAGAAAACACGAAATAATGGGACATTATATGCCTACATATTTCTTCATCATGCTGGAATTCTGCCTTGGCGTGATGGCAAAGAGGTGCATATGGTAAGCCCTCTGACTACCTATATGGTACCAAAACCAGAAGAAATTAATCTTCTCACAGGAGAATCTGTCACCCAGGTGAGATGTTTTTGTCTGACATTTGGCACTGTTTCTACAGAACAATTCACAATATGTAAACTGTGTGAGATGCCTCCACATTGCCTTCCATTGAAAGGGTCGGTTATGGTCAAAGAAAATGTTTGTTTTATTTTACATGAACTCGGTGTATAACAGAAAATATATCTTTAAAAGGCACCATAGAGTATTAATGTTGTCCCAAATGAGCTAATCTCAGTCACCTTGCCTCCTCCATCAAGTCCAAGACCCCCCCCCCCTTTAAGTATGCAAGGCACAGGATATTACAGCAGGGATGGCAAATACAAGCTTGTAAGCTTCCCGGCACTCAGGTAGCTTCAGCACTCAACCTACCAGATCCTGGATACTCTTCTGAGGGTGTGGTTATCTGTGCAATCCAATGCACTGCCCTCAAGGTGTGCTCAACTCCAGCCAAACCCAGGACATCTCGCCCTGCCTCCGCGAGGCCCACAGTGGTGGCAGAGGTGGAGGAGTACCTGGGTGAACCCCAATGTTCCCATGTTTGTAGTCTGGCTCTGGGAAAGGGCTGTGCTGGGGTTGTCTTTGATGGTGGTGTGCCTGGCACTGATCTCTCCCAGCACCTCGCTTCTTGTCGCCGCATCCTGGCGCACCCTGGCCACCTCCTCCGGGGGAACACAAAACTCCACCCAGCAGCCAGAGAGTAGGTCTCAATGGTAGATGGTCTCCCAGCCTTCCCGGAGAATTTGGCCATCACAGTTTTCTTCTGAACTTCAAGCACCACCAGAGTGTCAGCCCAACAGCCCTCCTCCTCCTCCTCCAACTCTGTCTCTTCCCTTAAATGCCTCAGCGCACACTTGCAAACCCTCAAGGCCATCGCTGCAGAGCGTCAGCCCAACAGCCCTCCTCCTCCAACTCTGTCTCTTTCCTTAAATGCCTCAGTGCACACTTGCAAACCCTCAAGGCCATCGCTGGCCTCTCCAGCCCAGTCCAGAGGTGCACTGCAGATGTGCAGGTGCACGGTGCTTGGGTGGAGGTTGACAGCCCACACTCCCCAGCAGGAACAGAGCTATCGGGCTCACAAACTGGTACACTGTTCACATCAAGATGCCACAATTGCAATTTAACTCAATTAGATTGTCCTACCTCTGTCTTTCTGTCACCTGCTAATGGGCATGCATAGAAAATAAACATATCCACTTAAGTACATTGAAGGCAGAGCTGTGAGACATATGCACTGCGAAATACAGCCTTCCATCCTTCTGAGGTTAGTAAGTTGAGTACCCAGCTTGCTGGGAGGGCAATGTGTAGCCTGCATACTTAAATTGTAAACTGCCCAGAGAGTGCTTTAAGTGCTATGAGTAGTATATAAGCAGCATATTTTGCTTTGCTTTAAATACTTTCCTTTCCAGTCTGTGAATCAACTTGATGTGAGCCAGGTAAATATCCTCACATAATATCTGTGACAATTGAACAGATTTCTAAGCAATTGTTTTATTTCTATGCAAAACAAAGCCGAGGATACTTGATTCTACATTTTTGCACCTTTCTGTCACTCAAAGTATTTTCCTACAGGAGTAATAGAAGAGAGAAGGATGGATGCTTTATTTAACTACTATTTAGCTATTCTGGTTATAATGTAATATTAGCACAGAATATTGCAATTGCTTTGAATCTAGATTTCTGAAATGGAATTAAACCTTGTCCTTTTACTTTTGTAATTTTCTTTTTAATTGAAAAGCAAATTGAAGCAGAAAAGAAGCAGACCTATGCCCTAGATGAGCCTGTCTCTCATTGGAGGTCCAGGCTAACCTTAAATGTTATGGTGGAAGATTTTGTCTTTGATGGATCTTCTCTCCCAGCTGATGTGCACAGATACATGAAAATGTAAGTGAATATTGATACGTTTTGTTGCTAGTCTTAAAGTCCAGAAAATATTTGGATGCAGGGTGAAGAGCAGTGCTTCTGTGCCGTGGCCTAGGATTTTCTCTACAGTTTGGTTATCAAAAAAGCGACAGTTGACTGAAAGCTGATGGCACGATGGTACTTTCATTTAATAACAGTTTTAGTCTCTGAAAATATATCCTAATGGGTTCAGGGCTTTACAGCTGACAGCACTTCCATTATCTAATGCAGGCTTGTCCAGCCTGCGGCCCATGGGCCGCATATGGCCCAGGTCAGCTCGTAATGCGGCCCAGTGCAATTTTTTATTTTTAAAGCAATTCCAAAGTTTCAAGTTACACTGCCGGCGCTTGCGGCTGGAATGAGGCTGGGGCACATCACAACAGTAGGGGAGGAGAGAGGGAAGGAAGGAGGGGGGGGAGGGGAGAGGGGGGCTGCGTGACTGCATTGCACTGTTCCCGTCAATAGGTGGACTTCCTCCCGGCCCCATAAAGTCACCGAAGTCGAATCTGGCAGCCTCTGCTGTCTGAGATTGCAGCTGCCAGTAAGTGCGCTTGGGGCGGGGCTGTGGAGGACGCCTAGGGCTGCCCCCCATGAGGCCCAAACCAAATTTATGTGCAACCCAAACCAAATTTTCATCTTCTAGTGTGGCCCAGGGAAGGTGAAAGGTTGGACACCTCTGATCTAATGTTTGTTTTGTTTACTTCAGCGTGATAGACACAATTCTGTGTAGTATACTGTTACAAGTTGTTTTTTTCTCTGAGTGTTTATTCAAATTAAATACTGAGGTTTTGGAGATACATTTTGTCTGACACAGAATGTGTGATTTGTTTTGAAAGATGCATATGATAAAAATTGCTTAAAATAGAAATATTTGTTTTAAACTAATACACTCAGAATACAATTCTTTTTTTTTTAATGTAGGATTCAGTTAGGCAAGACAGTGCATTATCTTCCAATATTATTTATTGATCAACTGAGCAACAGAGTGAAAGATTTAATGGTAAGTAAAATTGATTCATTTGTGAACAATAAAAACAATGTAAAACAATTTAAAATTATTTAGACAAATTTATCAAAATCAAAATAGAATCCACAGACTAATGGACTTAAAACCAAGATGTGAACCCTTACTCCTCAAATACTTGAATGAACTTTGTGCTTCCCTGGACATTGGAACCACTGAACCCCAGAATTTCTCTTCTGTTGCCCCTCATTCATCCCATTATAGCTGTGCAAAACCTGTAGATCTTCAGCTGACTTATGACAAGGAGTAGAGGTGTCTGTCACTGGAACCAATGTAAACTGTCTCCAAAAACCTTAGTGACTGTGGCCAGCAGGCTTGTATAGATACAAACAGCTTCGAAGACATACAGAACCCCTGTGGCACTCAAGTGCTTTATAAATATAGAGGTGAATGGACATCCTCAATGCCACTTCCTCTAAGCAGCCCTACAGATCCAGTTGCCTGCCATAATCAACAGTGTCAGAAGCTGACAAGAGATCCAGAGGATAAAAAGGCAGCACTTAACATAATGAAGCATTTACCAACTCCTGGACTCACCCAGCCAGCCTCTCTTTGCTGGATCTCATTAGCCAAGCATATTGGCCAGAACATTAGCTCACCGTGACTGAAACTCAAAAGTCTAAATAAATGGTATTCTGGATAACTCTAAATATTACCAAATGGCATTACCATATCCTGAGTGCATTTGCCATATGCCTAGGAAATTTATCATGGCAGATCACCAAGTGTTCTACTCTTAACTCTTTGTG